TAAGATACGCATTCGACGCATCTTTTTAAGCTCTATCTGATAATGTGGCTCTCATTGACATTAAAAACCATCTAATGACAGAAAAACAACTTTTCGACACGGTTCTCCTCGTTTTTCACACTTTGAGTACGTGCTGTACCGTTCTACGGGATTGTAGGACGTGGGATGGCATATATTTAGCATGTACTCGACGTGGGCTATTAGAAAAATAGGTTTTTGCAATTGTCTACGCACATTCAGAAAAAGTATTTTTCTAGCAAAAAGACGAAGGGGTTTTGGTCTGTTTTAAAAGTGCTTGGACAAATCCAAAAACCTATTTTTCTAATAGCCAACGTCGAGTACATGTTAAAAAAACGAAAGTGTATCTAGAAAAAATCTGAAACGTACATCTTATTCCCCGTCATCCATTGAGTCTATAGTAAAAATTTCCCAACTACCGGACTCATTTTGGCTGAAATATCCGAGAAACAACTTGCGTTCTTTGACGCAGAAAACTTTCCATCTTTTTTTTGTGAATTAAAGCAAGCGGGATCAATTCTCTCTTTTTTCCGGGCTCAAAACTTATTTTATCCGTAAAAATCTGCAAGCTATCTTATTTTGTTTAGAGTTGAACGCACTATTCAACCATGTGGTTGAAAAGTTTTTCGATAAACTTTGACTTTAACAGATTTTCTAGAAAACTCAGGTCTGCACAGTGCTTTATCTCATAATAAGCTGTATGGACTGAGCAGTAGGGATAGAACACACTATAAGAGTGAGGAACCGAACACCTCAGGTTTACTTTTGGATAATTTAGTGCAAAAGCAAAAATGATGCTTTAAAATTCATAGTTTTAATGTGTGATTCGAACAACTGTATATAGTGTTGTTTTGTGCCTGTTCTGTCCTAATCTCTCCCTCTCTCTGAGTCCCTACTTGGGCGAAACTTTTTTTACTTTGCGTATGTAATATTCTCAATGCTCGACCCATGGATTCGAGTCGACCCAACCACCCAAGTCCATACCCAAAATATCGAGAATCTGTGGATGTGCGCAAAACGAAAGAAGAAGAACATGATGGGTATGACCACAACTCTTCTTCAAACAGATCTTACAGAGTTTATGTGGCGGCGAAGATTCGGCGATCGGCCCTTCCAGAACTTGATAAGACAAATTAATGAACTATATACTGACGAACTTTAATGTTTCACGTTTTTTCTTATTATTCTGTTGTGCTTTTTTCTTTTCAATAAATTTCTCAATTTTCCCTGTTTTTGGTGTTCCACTTTCAATTGTTTTTCTGTATTTATTTTTTCTATCCTGTATTCTTTTGTATTTACTTTTTCCTGTACATATTTTTCGGGCAGTTACTGGTATCTATCACTCTATTATGATAGCTATAGTCATCTCTCATTCTTATTAAGAATAAGTTATGTTTTTAACCAATCATAAAATCAACCAATAGTTTATTTTTCTCGTTCTATTATATATACACACTACGTAACGGAGGTGGTTATTCTGTAGAAGTACTGGTAACGCTCGTCAGTACTCACTTGGTCCCTTGACTTTAGGAAGTTATATCTGCGAATGATCTTTTATGACTTTGAACCCAAGATAAAACCCACAGCTCTCTTCGATCGGTGTTCGCTAGGGGTTTATCTAAAATATATGAATTTCTCTTTGACTTGATGAATAAGCTTCCTAATATAATGTAAAGCTAAAAGGTTTCTATGAAACCCTCCAAAGATATCCAGAGATCCAATAAGATGTATTTCTGATCGATTCGCTATGATAGACTATGTATATTCTGTAAGTTTTATTACCCGTAGATGACCTTTTTGTGTTATCAGAATGAACTGATTTCTTGCGATATCTATCTCCCAACTAGAGAAATGTTTGCTTAGTTTTTTTTCTCTCTGTATCCATAAATATTATTTCAGTCATCTCTTTGATATTTTCTCTTTTGTGTAAAAAGTAATTTTCTACTTTTCTCTCTTTGCTTGTGATTAACTTATCCACAGAATATCTGACAGCCATTTTTTCGTATTTTGCACACACAGACATACAACCATTTTGTAAGACCCTAGACTAAAGTTAATGGAATAATCCTGGACTCAAACGGTTAAAAACTGTAGAGTTTGCTCAAATCTTCGCTGTTTGCGGCGTGTATGCACAGTTATTTATTAGGACTGTGCATAGACCTTACAGTTAATACATCTAAAGAGTGAATAAATGTTGTTTTATCTTGCCCTGATTATTGTACGCTTGGAAACATGGCGTACGCATAATGTTAAAAATACTGCTGCTATAGGCTGTATACCTTCATTGTTCTTATTATTCAAGCCTGTCAGTGTTTAATCAGGCCATTTTCGGGTGTATTTTGTCCAACATTGTTAGTGAATTGGATCGGGTTTGATTTAATCACATATTTATGATCTGTGTTAGGTGCTAAGAAATTATGCTTATTGAAATTAATTGAAACGAAATAAATAAATAGAAAACAAGAGATTATTTTCATTGTCCATCTAACACGTGGTTATATTGGCAAAGAGACTTGTTTTCACAATATGAAACTGACCGAGTGAAACTTCGTGGGGTTATTCTTCTTTTCCGTGAAAAAATCTCCTATCTTGTTTAATTCGACTGAGTGAAACAAAAGGACACTTGTTGCTTTTCACTAGCGTGTTGCCTAGAAAAATTCTTATACATTGATAAGTATCACGTGATTAACTGATGGGTTAATTACACTCTCCATACTGAATATACTACGTACATATATCAAGGATCACGTGACGATTATCTCATAGAGGAAACGGCATAGTTCTTGAAAAAACGATGCTGATCTTTCGAGACTAATTATAGGGTCACACTTTCTGCGAATGTAAAATAGACTGAAACTACCGATCTGTGAAACTAATTATCGCATTCATTCTCACTCTTTCATATATAATGTATGCTAAAGCATATATTGAAAAACTAGTTACAGATGTGTCATGTACAGTTCTTGCACATTCGATTGATCTGAAACCAGTGGTTGACTTGAGAAAGAAAAGTGTTCAAAAAGTAAGAACTACAGACCAACTGTACTCCGCAAAGATTGGAAAGTCGACTGAGTGAAACGGCAACTAGAGAAAGGTAGAATATTTCCAAAACGTTCAGGGGATATTAAGAGAGTTCGCCAAAATGTCGACCATAGCCGGCACCTGATGATGCGTCGATTGAGCTCATACATATCTCATTTGAAAGCCCTAACAGAATGGAGACTAACCATCTACTTAGATTTTTTGAAAACGTTTTTATCAAAAATTAGTATGATATTTACTTTTGCTACTCTCAACTTGTTTATAAAAATTCACCTTTCTAGTATTGCTTCGTACTTTTCGAATTTCTCAAAAACCATGGAGCCAAATTTTTTGGTTCAGGTACTGTTTGAAAGAGGAGAGTTAGGACTATACATCCATGCTAAAATGTTTAGTCAATCTTCTTCTTTTGCTAGGAAAAAAGTGCTTTTCTTAACAATTTTTAATTTCGAAGTTATCACTTTTTTTTAGTTTTTTGTTCTTTTGAGTACCTTAAACACCCAACTCCCCAGATTTTATTTCACCATTTTGAGCAATTCTCTAGCGAATGAGGTGCAGAAAGTCTGAAAAAAAGTCCCGGCAACTTGAGTTATAGCTGGTGTAGCAAGAGCAGAATCCATCTAAAATTGCATAAAACATCAGAAAAAATGTTTTTTTTCCATTTATCGTCATTTTTTACATACAACTAAAGCCAGTCTTGCAATCAGCAACTAAAACTGCATCGAATTACTATTGTAAATACTTTTAATTATGATTTTATTATTTATTTAAATTATTATTAGCTTCCATTATGAATATTACGATTATTTGAAAGAGTTGGTAGTTTATGTCTCATCAATTGTCCGGTGACCGTTATTTACAAAATAGAATATGGTATCGTACCAATAGAAATGAGTAGATCTTATGTAGAATTATATTAATAAAATAATCAACATTTTCATGAAAATATTAAATTAGTTTAGGTATAAGATAGTGAGAACAATCTGTAACAAGAGTTTACACATCTAAATTGTAAAATAACTAATTAGATGTGTGAGAGAATTTCCTTTGATATTTTTATTGTTGTATTTTTTTTATTGGTAGAAGAATAAAGCATTTAATATTTTCATTTTCTTTTTTTTGTTCTCGTCAACATTTCTGCGAGATAATTTTATCATTCGAACCAAAGTTCCAACGTGTTTGGAAGAAAATAATAAATCAGTTAGAGAGCGTTCAGAAAATGTTAAACAACCTGTTGGAACGAATTAGACATCTCTCCAACGTGTGTAAACACGTTCATTTGCACATGTGCTAAATTTGAAAACTAGAAACGTACGTTGGAACGTGTGCGAATAGTCGAACGCATTAGAACGGGGGAAATAGTGGCAGAAAATTACATTCTACGTATTGCAACGCGGTGAAATCGGTCAAATCAACTTGTTCCAATGCGTTCCAGTTAAAATTCTATCAAACTTGATCAATGAAACCTACGCTGCATCGTACACGTTGTAACGCGTTAAACAAGTTCATTTGACCGATCGCACCGCGTTACAACATCCTAGATTCATTATTTCATAGCTCACTTCTTGAGCCATTTGTCTCTCCTATAGGCAGTCTCTTTCATCTATTTGACATCTCTCACCATCTGACTTTAGCTTGGTCGAAATCGTACTGTTTTTCTATCTCTAATCAAGCACAAAAACTATCTTCCGCAATGCAAGATATAGCGATGAGAAAAATAGCTCAAAAACCCACTATTTTCTGTACTGTACAGTACAGAAAACAGTTGATTACTCTCTTGTTGCCGATAAGAGTAAAGAATTCATCTTTTGGTTAATGGTACTCCAAGTCAGCACTTCTTCGTAACATAAATGGCATCTTCTTTCGATAATACAACAATGAAGAAGCCCGATATTAACTCTGACGTAGTCGTTCGTGACAAAACAGTGTTTTAAATCTTTGTAATGCAATCAGATATTCTTTCTCTTTCATTAGATTTTACTGATATTAATATGGTGGCAGTAACAAGAAAGCGAACAATATTAAATAATCCAATTGCAAACATGCGAGAAACAAGAAGTATGACGAAAAAGAAAGAAAATGTTAAAAAGTCAAATAAATCCACAACACTTTTAACAACAAAATTAGGCAAAAATAGTAAACAAGTGGCAAAAAAAGGAATAAAATTGATAGAACGAAAGAAATTGAATAAAGTAGTAAAAAATGAATTATTTACTGACAATGTTCATTATTTAGTTCAAAATAAATCAAATAAAGATGGTCCATTTTTAATATCAAAAACCGCTTATTATTGGACAAAAAAATATTTAGAACAAATGAATCGTCGATGTCAATCATCGTATGGTTTATATATGTTTAGTGATTTTGATGGATTCGGACAAGTAGAAGTTATTGAAAATTTTTTACGTGATTTAAATGATCTATTTTATATATTTTCGTGGTCTCCACATCGAGAGAAGAAAAAAAATGTCAATTATATTTTGTGTTTTAGACGTTTGGAATCATTAAATATTTTACTCGAACATTCCGATGAAATATCGATGATTAATGATTGTGATCATTATTCTGCTCTATTACGTTTAATTGGATCAATCTGGATAACAACATTGAGAAATATATTATCAAAATCATTTTTTGTTTTGCAAGGAACTAATAATAATCAATTAAATAAAGAAGATATGAAATTATTAAAATTAACAAAACGTCGATTGCCAAATTTTGAACTGGTTCTTGAACGTGCTATAAAAATAAGTCACATATTGAATACGATTGGTGATGCATGTACAACATATCCAAAAATATTATCAACGATCTATCAGAATTGGTTACATATTATGGAAAATAAACAAATTTTAATGAAAAAACAGGCTAAAAGAAAGAAGAAAGAAACAGCAGAGATTGCCAATGTTCTGAATGATATTGAATTAAATACAGACTATACCACTGTCGAATTCGAACATTTTGATTTTATTTTACAATTTGAGTGGTATTGTAAACAACAAGAGGGCATCGGTGGAGATAATTACAACATATCGAAATGGTCAAGAGAACAAAAGAGATCTCGATGGGGTCTTAGGTTAGATCATGTATAAAACACTCTTTTCATGAACAAAGAACTGACAAATATCACTTTCATCTTCTTTTCTACGTGCTGTGTCAGATCAATTCATTTATTGTTTGCCGGTTAAGTCGTATCCAACGGTTATTTTCTGTATCTTTATTCCGATACATATGACATTTATTTTCATTTTATTGTCATTTTTGCTGAAGATTGCAGATTTTTTACAAACATTGTACTGTTATACACATTGAATCATCATACTGCACTGGAGTTAAGAGCCATTATCGGGTAGCCTCAGACAGGTAGTAATTGTTGATGTTTGTTACATATTTTATTCAAATTTACATCAATTTTAGGCCTATATGTAACTAACTGATCGAACAGTTTCTTTTTCGGGATTTGGTACATTTTAGAATGCTCTGCGTTTTCTTAGAAATGTTTCTGAAATTTTTCTAACAAATGCATTTTGTAGAGCAAACATTTTTCTACAAAATGAAATGTTTCACAGCTCTGAGAAAATCGTGATAACTGATGTATAACAATTCTCCCGGATGCCCCAACATCAGTTAACTGGTGCATGCCTATCGGTTTTTTGAAAAAAAGGCTACTCAGCAAAACGCTTATGAACTTTTTAATGAAAAGAGCTAGCGATCTACGGTTTTGTGCAGTCGAAAAAGGACATCAGGGAACACAAACCTATGCGAAAATAAAAGATTTCCGAAATAACTTTCTGGGTTATTATAGTCCGGAAAAACAGCGCGTTTTCCGAAAACATTTTGTTTTTTAGTTTTTTCGCCGAGTTTCGAGTTAATTGAGATTTTCAGAAAATCGCATATTTTCCCTAGGCGCAGGGAAAACTCACTTTTTAAAAACGCAGTTTAATCAGTTGTTTACTCCAAGCCGAAAACTAACACCACCGCGATGATTAGCGCACTCGATTACCTATGTGTCAACATTTCTTAATTCAAAAACGCCAAAGTCCCCGAAAAATCAGCCGATTTTGAAACGCTTATAACTCGGCGAGGAAGCGAACTTTTTGGGGTTGCTTAGATACCATTCGAAAGAAGACCTCTCGCTCTACAAAACTGGCGAAAAAACTAAAAAACAAAATGTTTTCGAAAAACGCGCTGTTTTTCCGGACTATAATAACCCAGAAAGTTATTTTGGAAATCTTTTATTTTCGCATAGGTTTGTGTCCCCTGATGTCCTTTTTCGACTGCCCAAAACCGTAGATCGCTAGCT